AATTCGACCTCACTCGAGTTAACACCTTCACGGCCATAGGCCATCGCCAAATGGGTTACAATTCGACCTCGCTCAAATTAACACCTTCACGACCATAGGCCATCACCAAATGGGTTACACTTCGACCTCGCTCGAGTTAACACCTTCACGGCCATAGGCCATCATCAAATGGGTTACAAATCAACCTCACTCGAATAAACACCTTTACGGCCATCGTCAAATGGGTTACGATTCGACCTCGCTCGAGTTAACACCTTCACGGCCATTGGCCATCGCCAAATAAAAGGAAATTTCAACCTTTCTCGAATTTAGAACGAATCACAATTTTGATCTCTCAAATTTACATCCCTACGGCCGTCGGTCATCGCCAAGTAAAAGTAAATATTTGCCCACCCGAATCGACAGATTGAAGTTCGACCTCGCTCGAACATGTAAGTCAAAATTGACTTCGCCTAAGTTGGCAACTCCAAGTTTGACCTCGCTCGAACATATAAGTCAAATTGACTTCACCTAAGTTGGCAATTTCAAGTTCGACCTCGTTCGAGTATATTGGGCAAAATTGACTTCGCCCAAATTGGTAAGTCTAAATTCCATCCCACTCGAATATACAAGTCAAAACTGACTTCACCCAAGTCTGCAAGTCTGAATTCGACCTCGTTCGAATATCCAAACTGAGGTTGATTCTGCCCAAGTTGGCAATTCAGAAGTCAACCTCGCCCGAACTTACAGATCCAAAGTGACTTCATTCTAACTCACACGACGAGATCCTACTCGATCCGGGCAAGGTCGGATTCCCAATTAAAAGACCAGGGACTCATCATGGAAAAATTCAAAGATCTTCTCCCCAAGAAAGAAAAAAAAGCGGTAGAGAAGCATAAAGAAAGTCAAAAGATACACAAACAAAGGCGAAGCAACTATTTTGTTCAAATGTACATTCGCAACAGTCGCGTCTTACAAAATGGCCAAAATGGGCCCTTAGAAAAAAATGAAAACAAACAACAGAAAGGACACAAAAAAAAACTAAGTACAAAAGCTGCAACAAAATTTCACTCGGCGTCATCTCCACCGCCGTTCTCCCCATCATCATCATCAGGAAGCCTATCCTCAATATCAACGCCATCACCAACCTCCGGTGTCGCAGGGTCGTAACCGTAGGAAACACGAGCCTCGTATGCCTTCGCCCGAGCATCTTCAAAGGCAGCCTCAGGAACACTTCCAGCCTCCCACAAGCCCTTGTATATATCTTGTTGGGCCTCGACATGGACCTATAACTCATACAAGTGGCAAGGAACATCGGCAGAGACAGATTCAACCTGAGCCAACAGTTGCGCCTTCTATGCCTCGAGAGTTGGGACCCGGTCTCTCAGGTTCGAAGCTTCCTGGTCAATTTCACCAATACGCTCCTCAAGCCGCGCCTCCCTCATCGTGGTCGTCGCCCTCTTAGATTCCTACTCGGACCTAAGGACATAGATAGTGTCTTCTAGCGCCGCAGCCCTCGCCAAAGCTGACACTCGAGCATCCTCATCTTTCTCCAACTCAGCCACTTTCTTTTCCAGCTCGTCCACCTTCTCCGCCCATTCTGCACTGAGAGCGTCAACCCTAGAAGCATTTTGTTCAAGCTCAGCTCGTAAAGAAAGCACTTTTGCTTTAGGTCCTCACATTCTGCGACAACCCTTTTGCCACCTCGAGCTCCTCGTTCTTGACATGAAGTAGCTCCTCAAGCTCACTGCATCTGCGGATATACTGCATCAGGTCCTCATCTCTTTTCTCCAACTCCTCCTTGGCGGACTGGGTACTAGCGCCCGCTCTAAGATGCTCACGTATCTCCTAGAACCTGTTATGATACTGCTGATACTTTTCGACCATTTTCAGAAAAATCTCGGCCCGTGTCTCAGCCCTACGAGCGCTCTCGATCTCCATCATGTAAGTCTACAAAAAACGAGAGGAGAAAGAGTCAATTAAGATAAGAGTCGCAAAATAGAGAAAACAAAAGGGAGCTCTCCCTTAGGCCCATCGCGTGATAGTTGAGAATCACTGACTTCCTGAAGAGCTCTGCTTTCAGCGGCGGAGCAAAGAAAATCAAACTGCGGCACAAAATCCACCGTATCCTGCAACAGGTTGAGATCCAACGGGATTTCGAGTATGCGGGAAGGGCCTTCCGCCCTTACCTCAGTCCTAGTGAAGCCCTCCTCGAACATCCTCATGTCTTCAGGGTCAATGTTGGACTCAGTTTCATAATCCTCAACCATGACGCCTTTCCCTTTCTCATCGGCCGAAGAAGGGGTGCAGTTCTGCCGGGATGACGATGGTCTGCTCGGAACAACTACGGCGGCCTCGGGATTCCACCCCTCTGCTACATTAGCCTCTTGAATGCTCGCAACGGGCGTCGCCTCCACCTCCTAGCTAGCCCCTCAGGCGGTTTCAGGAACCATCGAAACAAGGTTGCCCCTCAAAGACATTTCGGCTATAGAAGCCCCTTTCAACACTACCCTTCGTCTCTTCGATGAGGCCTCTCCACTACCGATGTGAGAAGATTCGCCCGTTGAACAAACTGCGGGGACCAGAGTCTCCGGTTGAGAAGCAACCTCCAAGCGTACAGCTTCGGCCACGGGCGCGGTCTGATGAGCAGCCAGGCTCTCCACGCCCTCGCCTGCGGTAACTCTTGGCACAAGCCGGGCAGAGGGCGCCGGTTGACGGAATGCGAGCGGAGGAGCCCTTATCCTTCTCACTTCCCTCCGACCTGTTAACAAGAGAAGATTTGATCATATAATGACGAGGTTAAAGAAACTACGAAGCAGAGAAAAAAGCAAAACCACAACGAGCCAACTCACCAGTAAGAGGCTTGCGCCCAAACTTCTTATGGAAAGGCGCCAACTCACGAATCCCCATCGTGTGGGGGAGAATCGCGCTCGCCCACTCGCGGATATCGGAAACTAGAGGGGGAGGTAATCTCTCGGCTGCAAAAGCAAAAACAAATCCTCAGCAAAGTCGTTAAAGGAAGACGATCGACGACCGTCTTAAGAAAAATTGCATAAAGTAAAAAGGAAAACTTACGAGCGAAATTCCACGTCTCAAGGAACGCTGCTGGATTCAACATGATGTGCTCTGTTCGGACATAGAAGTAGCTCTCCTAAAAGCGGCAATTGGCCTTGTCGTCCATTTTCACCACCAAACTCTTGGTTCCTCGATGACGCATGTGAATCATCGTACCCCGAAGAAAATGGGGGGCGAAGAGGTGGAGAATGTGCCCTAGAGAAATCCCTTGGCCGGCTAGCTCCATGTACTTGATGAGCATGAGGAAGAGCTTGTAGGCATACGTGGAGAGTTGAGCCGGACACACTTCATAGAAGCGGCAGAAATCCGCCACCAGGGAAGGAAGAGGAAGCGTGTATCCAATAACAAAGGGATACACGTAAAATGCGCAATAGCCCGGGCGGTGTAAATGTACTATGTCCCGAACCGCCGACACCATTTCGATATGATCGGGGATTCCCCACTTGGACTTGAGCGCCGTAATCGCCGCAACATCCATAGTAGAAGGAACGAGCGTCGGTTCATCTCCGGAAGGGCTATTAAAATCAGTCCTCGTCTTTCCTGGGCGGGGAACCACCTCATCCACCATCGGTAACCCTTCATCTTCCACCACCTTCACTCCCTCTTCAAGTAGGGATACATCATTTTCTGGCACCGGAGCACCAACAGCCTTGTCAGAATAGGAAGAAGTACTAGTCATTTGTTGTCTTTGATCGAAAGAAACGAAAAGATGAAGGAAAAAAGACAATGGTCACAACGAATTCTAGCAGAAGCAGAAGTATGAGAGACTAGAGAAGGAGGAGAAAATTTGCAAAGCTCTTTCTTAAAACAATTGAAAAGCGCAACATTCAAATGAGAGGCTCCCCCTCTATTTATAAGGGTATAAATGTCCTGAACGGAAAATCAAGAGCCACCAGTTAGAAAATGGATAGGGCACAGGAAACGACACGATGCCTAGGAAACATGCGCCATAATGACGCATGAGAAGTATTTATGACATCCTGAATTGACGTGACGATCCAATCCCGAATTGACGTAACGATTCGACGCAATTCTTGAAGCGTCACGTCGCTACCTCGCCATGAGGATCTCGCCTATCGTGTAAGGCATTCAGATTTCTCCCAATTTTTGAATCAACAGAGTCCGCCCATCGAGCTTGCCAAGAGGCGACCCCAACGGTCGGGGGGACTAACTATATGGGTCAAAATCTGTCCACACGTGGATTAGCGCTAAAAGGAATGGTAAGAGGTCGACTGAGCCGTGGTCGTACTCACAGGGCATAATAACGATAAGCATCTCGGCCACTGCTGAGATCGAGCCATCATCAAGCTTGTACGACAAAACATGTGTCGTAATGCTCGAGGGGAACAGAGAAAAGTATAATCAAGAGAGGGTATTTTGGCTAAAGACCGTTGGACAAAGGGGAACATTCGTAATATAAATAGAAGGTAAGAAGGCAAGAAAAGGGAACCGGCTCCCTCTGGAGAGAGAAGGATAGAAGAACAGGAGGAGACCTCCAACAACAAAGCAAAAGCGTAGGTTTTGACCGCAATCCCTTGTAAGCGACATTGCTGAGCCAGAAAAGATAGATCCCATAGCTATCGATGACGTTCCATCCTTTCCTTCTTTGCTCTCACATTACGGAACAATATATCAAAAATGTAAGCTTGCCATTTATGTTTGATATCTTTCAACAATCTTAAGAAGAGTTATATAAATTCAGCTGTATTCGATTCTTGTATTTAACATGCTTTGATCTAGAGCTAATTATCTTTGATTAAAATTTGCCCTCCCTTTCATCATTAATTAGTTTAACAAAAAGCTCAACACTTTTTAGTCAAACAATAAGGAAAATGTTTCCAAAACATTTAAGCCAACCAAACATGAGAAAATTGAAAAATATTTTCCTTCAGACCAAACACACCCTGAGCCTATGGCGGACGGAATCTTTCCTCACAACTTATAGCTTATGGGGAGGGGATATCTCATTATTTTAATGTTTTTATCTTTGTTTGGGATGTCGACAGGGTGGATTGGCACATGAATGCAGTGCTTCTTTCTGCGATCAGATCCTAACCTTGTACAACAAAAGTGCTAGGGCCTATCGAACATAATGTCCGCAAGTTTAGTTTACAGATTAACTCAATCTACATATACATTATGATCCACTTATTCACAAGGGAAACACAGCTCTCTCGAAATCTCAGTTTGAGCATAAGGTCATGAGCAGTTATGCTTTCAGGTATCCATTTTTGTCCAAGTATGAGATCACTACATCAGCCAAGTCATTAGGAGAATCACATAGCCCTTGGTTCTGACGCAAGACTATCTGCACAATAAAGAGATACAAGACCAGGAATAATCAGAATTTAGAGAAGAGCCGTGAGTTCTGTTCCTTTCATCTTTATTAAAGCATGATGGAATTGAATCTGCTCCAAGAAAGCTGAGGTGATTGAAAGATTACATTAACTTATAGTATAAATTGCTTATTTGGTTTATCCCAAATTTAAAAATATAGGTGAAGTCATGCAGTCAGGAAATGCTTATTATCTGGATATTGAAACTGCCGAATTTAGCAGTCAATCCTCAATCAATGTAGCATATCATTTAAAGAAGAAGAGAGACTTGTCTTACCTCTGATTTCAGGGGTGGCTCATATGGATCATCAATACCAGTAAAACCTGCAAAATTGCGTAAGTACCATATTATGATAATCCTCAAGAGCTAAGACTGAAGCGGATGCAACAAAGCTGAAAACAACATAGGAGAGGAGGATCTCTGCCTACTACAGTAGGGCCACAAAAATTCGAGTAACAGGTAACTTAATAGCTAAGAGTGAAGCAAACTCAAGTCTCACCACCTATTTGACATGATCTTACTTTTCAAATTAACCAAATTCATAGGTGCAAGATCGTAAACAGCTAGTATATAATATATTCTCCTAGTTCACAAAAAAGAAAAAGAAAAAAGAGGAGATGCTGATATAACAGATAGCACCTTTTATCTTTCCAGCTCGAGCAAGCTTATACAATCCCTTAGGGTCCCTTGCCTCACATACACGTAGAGGAACATCCATGAACACCTAAAAATTAGCCAGCTCAATCAGCTTTTTAGATGTGCCAAACAAGCAAGCTCTCACTTGAGAAGCTAATCCTTTGGGTACCATTCCTATTACGAACCTCAATGAAATCCCCTTCAGGTAGTAAAGCACGGCAGGCATCTCGCTCCTTTCTGTAGGGAGATATCAAACTGGCAATGCAAATAACTCCAGCATCCGCCAAAAGCTTAGACACTTCTCCTGTGAAATAACCATATGCAATTGTCAGATCCCAGAAGGAACAACACGATGGGATTACAACATGGGAAAGGTAGAAACCAACCAATTCGTCTTATATTTTCTGCTCGATCTTCAGCTCCAAAACTAAGGTCACGATTCAGACCATGGCGAACATTATCACCATCAAGGATGTAGGTGAGTTTTCCTCTAGCATGTAAGCCACGACTTAGAGAACATGCCAAAGTGCTCTTCCCTGAAATCATGTTTAATATTTAAAAATGGAAAAATATAGTGTGTGAATTCAAACAGCTCATAGACTGAAGAAAGAAACCAGGCAATAAGAGCTATAAGGATAACAGTACTGCTTGATGA